ACCAGTGGCCCTCAAGCACCTGGTTTGGATGAGGCTTTGAATCTCCCCACCCAGTTTTGTCCCTGGATGGTTTATTCCCAATATTCTCTGGTTGATGCAGTCATTACAACAGGGACAGCCAGCTCCGATGGGGCTGAGCACCCCAGGCCCCCTGCACCCTGAGCACCCGCGCTGGGCAGGATTCGGGGGGCAGGCAGATCCTGGGATGCAGGAGCTGTGCCAGGAGAGGGGACGGATCCTGACAACGGCTTCAGGGCCAGAAATAGAAGCAGCAGGGCGAGGACAGCTGTTCCCAGTTTAAATTGCCAGTTTTTAATAAGCCGGTTAGCTCTTTGAAAAGCATTTGTTTCGGCGTTTCATAAATAGGAGGAGGAGCCGGGATAGCATCATCGGGGACGTCACCGAGTTTGTCACCGCTCTGTAGCTCCTCTCCGCATACTCAAAGACCTCCAATTTTCTCCCGGTGCCGTCGGATTTTGGGTTTTCAGCAGCACAAAGTGACTCTAAGGAAGACTGAAGTCTGCCATTTAATTTGCCAAGACAGCTGGCAACAACTTCATGTACAGCTGAACATTTCATCACGTCTGCCAAGACCTAGTCATTTTGGATTAATTTTAGGACAGTTTTTAAAGTGATGATGAAGGATTACGCCGTGCGCTTCAGCAGCATTAAAAAAAAAAAAATTAAAAAAACAAGATCTCTCTTCTTTAAATCTCTCATTCAAATTGTCCCAGTTTGGCAGCTCAGCCGTGCATTTGATTTGTGATTTGGAGGGATTCACCGGTAGTGACATTTTCATTTCTCTGAGTACATGGGAGTGCTGGCACAATCCGTGGGTGGTAGCAGCGCCTTCAATATTAAACGTGGCTACGTGAAGTAAATTCATTTGCAAGAAGGCAGCAGAGCCCTAACGTATGAAAAGCATCCATCCAGCAATAACCCAGCATCTATGATTAAATGCTTACAAGTTTTTCGTGCTGTAATCTCAGCTGGAGCCGTGCAGTCCAGGGTTTACTCTCCTGGAGCAAAGTATTTACAACGCTGTTCCTCCAGAGCGGTCCCAGGTCTTCCCAGGGAAGGGAGGCCAAAATCTGTGGGCAGGGAGGTGGGAAGGAGGGCTGTAGCTCACGCGTTGCTGCTTTTGAGACCCCAGCTCAGAGAGTCAGGCAGCCATTTCCATGATTACCTTAAATCACTGCCTCCGCAGCGCCTCCCTGCTCTGCGCATGATGAGTCCTGGTACCCCAAGTCACAGGAGGAAGGACGGCTCCGCTGTCCCAGTCAACCCAGGTTGTAAGAGTTGCCCTTTTGTCTTTGGGATATCAGTACCTTCTGATAAAAGAACTGTTATCAGCGCAATGAGTGACGCTGGTGACGGGCGTTGGTGTCTCACGCGCAGGGAGGATCACCCCGGAACGCTCGGGCAGCGTCTGGGTGATGCCACCGTGGCCTGGGGACATCCTGCCAACAGGCTCCTGTCCTGAAAGGGAAAAAAAAAAAACCCCAGGCAAAGTCCCTGCTTTCATCATCCTTTCCCTGAACCCATCCGCGTGCTCCTCCCCCCCCCGCCCGAGCATGAATCTGAATGTCATGAATGAACTGTGCAAAGGCGCCATGAATGAATAATTCTGAAACGTCAGCCTTCTAGCCAAGCCCAAAATAATTGCCAGCCCCATCCAACATAACCCAGACGACCAACCTTGTGACACCCGGGACATCGTTCCCCACAGAATTTAGTCTCGAGGGACTTCTGCACCATACTGAGAGCTCACGGCCACCACGCTTCTGCTAGAAGATGCCCAGGAGCCGATGTGTCAGCGTCCGGATGCTTAGGACGCCCTGAGCAAATTTGCTGCACAGAGCTCTTTGGCACTAAACCCAACCGGCTGCCCCCAACCGGCTCTTCATGGTCACGATGGAGCAGTGTGGATGGATCCAGCAGATGGATCTAGAGGCCACCTCTGGTGGAGCCGAGGAGAACGTGGCTCCTGTCTAACCAGCTGACTGCAGCTTGCCGGGGGAGAGGATAATTATTTTCCTCCCCTTTAAATGACAAATGACATTTGACTGCCCGGAATGTTGGAAGTGATTGGGTCTGTGTCATGCTGCTGAAGACAATTTTATGGATTATCTGTTGTATAATTAAAGAGAAAAGAGCCTTCTTGGAGCCTTTTGGGTGCGGGTATGTGCTTGATACAGAGTTTAACCCAATAATATTGGCTGGAGACACCTCGAAGATAAAAACCTTCATGCGACTTCCAGTTCAAGCAAAAGCTCCCCGGACTGAGCAGTTGTAGCGAGATCAGTGCCCTGATCTGGATCTTAGCGCCCCAATCTGGGCTGGGTGGGCGGGGAGAGACCACAGCTGTGAACGTACCGAGTAAACATCTCCTTCCTCTGAATCTGATAACTCCGTCGAGGCTGCTGCGTGTCGCTATTTTTTTTCCCCCCCCCCGAACAAATTAACAACAAACCAAACACAAAAACAGCCGAGACCCTGGATTTTCCAGTATTGCAGGTACCAATGGTACAAAGTTTTAAAGCCAGCTAGGTAAGGTGGCTAAGACCCTGCTGATGGGTGAAGATTGGAGAGGATGTACAGCCGTCAGTGCGATCGTATGGAAAACTCCTGGTCCTCAAGCACAGAAGCCAGGGTTTCCACAGACGGAGCCCCACCACTCAGGAAAGAGCCTGGGGTTGACTCACTCCAAGATGGCATTTGACATTTAGTTGGCTGAATTAGACAACGTACGCAAGAATAAAACCGAGCTGCCCAGCAGAAGAGGTTGTACAAAAAGCTTTGAGAGTTTCCAAAGCAGCGAGGGGAGTTGTTTGCTTCTTCCTTTCCTGTTTAACTGGTAGATCAACAACCTAGCAGGCACGTAGAAAACAGTTTGTTTCTTTCCCGTAACTTGCCTAATACTCTTCGGTTTCAGGCTAGTTGGGTCAAAAAGTGCCACGAAATCGGGAAGGTTTTTGGATTGCTTTTGCCAAAGTTGATGATGCTCGACTCGTTTGTAGGGCAGCAGGGAAAAGGGGTTGTAGCTTCCAACCCACCACCTTGTTTTCAGAGGGAGATCGGAGTTTCTCTCAAATTGACTGAAGGACAATTTGTCCCTCATCAGGGATACGTGCATCAGGCTTCACACGCGCAACCAACCTCCGCTTCGCTAACAACTTACACAGCAACTTGGTTCCCTGCCTGTTCTCCCAAAAGCTTCAAACCCAGAGGAGACTCATGGAAGGGATGGTCCTCCCAGTGAGGACAGAGTGGACCTCCCTTCTCCTCCCCAACCCTGACTCAAGGCATTTCCCTCTCAAACGCTACTCAAGTAACCAAAGCAGATGGTGTCACTAGCCATCAGCACCCAGAGCAACAATACGGGCACATTAAGGCGAAGATCTTGGTATAACACCCAACGCAACCCCCAAAAACCAAGGAGACATCATCTGCTGAAATGGGGTGGCCAGAATGAGAGGGAAGAGCAACTGAGGGTGCAGAAACACATCACGTCTGGTCTGGGCTGAAGGGGACAGTCCTGTCCCTCCTCTCCTCCACCCTACGACTGCGTGTTCCCAACGCAGGGCTGTACCTATCGCGACTGTAGAAGCCCTCCCTTAGGTGGGATTCAGCACGACACCGCAGCATGACAGGTCCCTTCTTTCACCAAGCGCAGATTTAAACAACCGTCCATTTACAATATATAAAATAATATTCTTCTTATTGCACGTCACGAAGAGCATTATAAAACCTCACGCACGTTAGGTCTGATGACCACACCAAGACCCGCTGGCCAAATGTCACCACGCGGCAGCTATCGCGTAGAACAAATACAACTACAGCCTGTATTTACTGTTTTAATTTATTTTTTTTTATTATGCATCGTAAATCTTTCACACAAAGTAATGAAAAGGATCCCTAAGGTGATACTTTACAGATCTGAAGGAAAACAGAGTATTTGTGACCGTGCCAGACTGCAGACTGCAGGACACTGCCAGACCCACGTAAGGCTCAAACTTTTGGAAGAGCCAATGGGGCTTGCATGGATTTCAGCATAAATCTTGGTCTGGCTCTGCTGTTTCAGCTTTGGATTGTAACTCCAGCTGTTCCAAACCAGCTGGGCCCTGGGAGCATTGCATATTAATTAAATGCACAAGGAAATTATGTGATCGGACCAAACCTGTTCCTTCTGTACTTCAATTCAATGTCATCACAACAAGAGTGGAGCGAGAAATAATTTACTGTATGGCTCCGACGTGGATTCAGCAGCTGGTTTCACCTATTCTATCAGATTGCTGCTTCACGTACCCTGATCTTCATAAAAAGCCCTTTCGAATTAAAACCCCAGGTTGTCTCCAGTTTGACGCCTGGCTGATAAGCACCCGCTCTGGCGGGGCCCTCCAGCTGAAGGTAGCGGGAGGGAGGGTGCTCACCTTGGGGCAGGTTCAAGTGCTCATGGGTGGGTAAGACAGAGGACCATGGAGTCGTCCCAGTAGCTTCAGAATCCACAGTTTAAAAGTGCATCTTCAGACTGACCTTTCCAAAGGCTGGGCAGCTCTGCTGACTCACACACACTCTCAGGCTTTCAATAAAGACAAAATTACGCATCACTACGATAACCAAGGAGAGTCGTTCCCCCTCGGTGTCTGCTCAAAGACAAAAAAACCCCCAAGCTCCCATAAATCCAAAATACAGCGTAAACTTATGTGCAGCTCAGTCATGGTTCATTCATTTTTCATCTTTTCCTAAGAAAAACAACCAAAAAAAGCATCTCCAGTCTTACTACTGCCTTTTCTCAAGAGCTTCTGCCTAAATGCTCCTGGGCTGCGTATGTTGCTTTGTAGCTATAATTAAATAAATTTTGAAAGCTTTTTTTTTTTTTAGCCAGCATTTCTATTTGCGTAGGACTCAAATGGACTTTCACCTCTAAATAAGCAGATAAAAGGCAAGCACAACCCCAGCGCATCCTTCGGGGGAAAAAAAAAAAAAAGGGTGCAAGAAATTCTATTTAAAGCCACTCAAAGGACTGCCTGAAAGCAAACGCACCCGATTCTTCAGGTCAGTAACCAGAACATGCTGGAGCAGGCAGCGAGTCCAAGGGGTTACTGTGTATATTTGGGAAGTAATTCCTTGATATTTATGTTCTGGCACGCGAGGCGCTGGCGACCGTCCTCCAGAGAGCAGCCTCAGAGCGTTCGCACGCGTGTGCTATGGGCACCGTCAGGAGCCTCCCCGGCCGAGGAAGGAATGATCCTCATTTTGAAAACCGAGATGTGGTCTTTCAAAATCAGGTTAAGCCGTTTCCTTTTGTTCTTCCAACGGCAGAAACAGGTATATCAGGAAAGGACACTTCAAACCAACAGAACCGGGAAGTATTCTACATTCAGATAAATTTATACTTCTGCCATAAAACCTTTAATAGCAAAGAGGGGATTTTCAACACAGAACTTTGCCAAGGATCCCCACAACACACTGTCACCATCGCACACAGTTTTACAGGACATTGGTCTATTTTACAATCTTATAACTATTTTCTTTGGAGATTTCTTTTTCCCCCAAGCCCACCTTCAATTTCCAGGAACAGCTTTTGCACACAAGCACAGTAAAGCAAGACCATAAGGGACCTGACTCCAAAAGCCGGTGTTTCTAGCCCTCTAGAGAGTATTTGCCAGTCAAACAACAACAAAAGAGTCTTGCTATTGAAAACCCTCCCACAAATATTTTGACATCTAAATGAAGTGTTTGAATCTGCTGGGGAGCTAACCTGATTAATACGCCGCTTGCTGAGTTCACTCGGACGACGGCGTAGACACCAATTTAACAGCCGCAGCCTCGACAGCGCCACCAAAATGAAGGGCTGTGAGTGAAAGCGTGGGATTAGGTAACAAGCAAACCCATGGCAGAATCCAACAGACCATAGAAAGCTCAACCCAATGAAGCTGCCTTGCTTGAAAGAAAGGAAAACACAAACGCTGCTTCCAAATCCAAGTCCGCAATCTCTTTCCTCATTTACCCTGTTAAGTTAAAAGAACAATCAGGTTTGTGGTTGGTAGTAACATCATACCCCATGTGTAAGGCCTCATTTTCATCAAACAAGCTCTAGGCTATAGGACTATAAATACAAGGTTGCCTACAAGCCATCAGTTCCTCACACCACAGTCCGTTGCCAGCGTGTTGGTGGCAATCTGCTTCCAAAACATCGATGCTGGACTGTACGCTAGCGGCAAGCTTCATTCTCCGTAAGCTTTGGGGTCCAAGGGTGCACGCTGGAAGGGGTCACGTATTAACACGCGGTGCAGAGGTTCGTTTTCCGTAAGAAGACGGAGTTGAGTTGGCTTGGCTGGGGGCGTCTCCTTCAGCCGGAGTCCATAGTGAAGAGCTGGATGTCATGCGGGTTCCAGTACAGGGCCACAGCAGAGTTGTAGACCAAGGACCAAACGTAGGGGATGAAGAACTCCTCAGGCTGCTCCTCCTCCACATACTTGAACTTCAGCTCGGGGAACTTCTGCAACAAGAAATCAAAGTCTGCTGAGGGAAGGTTTGCATGTCTGTTTGCAAACACGCAGCCCACGTGAAGACTGAAGAAAGTAGTGTGGTGAACAAAAATAATGGAAGGAACTGAACCATTAGACCTGAAGGAAAATATTTACGGGATAGAGAGAACATTCATCATTTTTTCTTTGAACTGAGTACTACATTGGCATATTGTATTCAATCCTTTTACCGTTGGTCACACTCAATTTGCCTGTTAACAAAGACTGAACAGGTGAATCCTTTACCTAACACAAAGGTCTTAAGGAAAACCGTCATTTTTAGCAGCCCCACAAAAGCCTTCTCGCTTGCGCACGTACAGACCTGTTTAGTGCAGTTTTCCCTCAAAATTGCACCTCGAATACTGTGTTCAGTTTTGGGCCCCTCACTACAAGAAAGATGTTGCGTTGCTGGAGCATGTCCAGAGGAGAGCAACCAAGCTGGTGAGGGGGTCTGGAGCACAAGTCATACGAGGAACAGCTGAGGGAACTGGGGGTGTTTAGTCTGGAGAAGAGGAGGCTGAGGGGAGACCTGATCGCCCTCTACAGCTACCTGAAAGGAGGCTGTAGGGAGGTGGGGGTCGGCCTCTTCTCCCTGGTAACAGATGATAGGACGAGGGGGAATGGTTTGAAGCTGCGCCAGGGCAGGTTTAGGTTAGATATTAGGAAAAACTTCTTCACCGAAAGGGTTGTCAGGTTCTGGAATGGGCTGCCCAGGGAGGTGGTAGAGTCCCCATCCTTGGAGGTATTTAAAAGAAGGATAGATGAGGTGCTTAGGGATATGGTTTAGTGGTGGGATGGCAGGGTTAGGTTAAAGGTTGGACTCGATGATCTTAAAGGTCTTTTCCAACCAAAGCGATTCTATGATTCTATGATTCTATGAAAAGCGCTTCGCTATCAATTGTAATCAGCTCCTTAGCAGGAGAATCCTATGCAAAGGCCGTAAGAATAAACAGTCTATGATACGTTTTCAGGAACCCGGTGTCATGGCAAAGTGACTTTTTCTCTCTAGTTCTCAAATAATTTATGTACGTACAGGTTTTCAGGGGAAAAATGCTCTTCCTCCAGGAAGCACAGTGGGAAGCCTGGCTCCATGGGTGGGTTCCTGGAGGCCACTTCCAGTTTTGCTAGAGGTTCCTCGGTAGTTTTGGGCAGGTCACTACGTCTGCGCCTTGGCTTTGCCGTTGCGGAGGAGCACGCAGGACGACTCCAATGGCATCTCTGCGGCAATTAACCCCGCAAGCTCCTCAACGGCAACGTGTCACACGTCTAGCCCACAGCCTCTAAAGCTGTAACCACAGGACCTGTGCACATAGACCTCATTGCCCATCCACGCAGACGCCTCCCCTTCCTGGAAATCACAGGCTAGACAATACCGTTGCCACAAAAGCCCTGTTTTTCAGTACCAGCTTTAAGCAAAGCACTTCCAGAATGAACACGCGTCAGATGTGCTAGCCTAGCCCATCCTAACTGGATAAACATGCTGCGTCTGCAGTTTTCCAATTCTCTCCCACTTCTTCCCTCTCAAAGCAGCAAACCCACCACGTTTGCTCTCAGTGAGCGTGTGTTTTGGGGAAGAGGGGAGCCTACTTTTGTACTGCGCTCTTCAATCATTTTATCTACTTCTAAATGTTGCCTGTGTCAAGAGCTTGGCAGAGTCTCAGATAAAAGCCGCATTACAATGATCACTGGGGTAAGATAAAACATGACCCATTTTATTATTTATAAGGCTGTGGCTAAGACTAAGAATAAACTCTATGGTGTGACATGATCAGAACAAGCACGGCAATGGCTAAGAAGCTTCTTTGCCCATTAATAATGAAGGGATCCCCTATCATCTTTCTTGAGCTCAGAGGGTCCTGTTTCCTTGCATTAGGGCACAAGAGCCTTCTGGCTGGAACAGTCTCCTTTGACAGGGCACTTCTTGGCCGCTTGGCTTTTGGGGTTATTTATTTAATTTTTACACACCCAAGTTATTTGTATTCCTGGAATTAGAAAATATGGAAACCATTCTGCTCCTTCCTTGCTGTTACTAGAGCAGTGTGGTGCAAATACTGAGCGTACGATTACACCAAGCCACAAAGGTGCCGCTTGCGTTACGCTTTATGAAGGACGTGTCTCCATGGATAGCTTCATTCAGCCATACGCTATCTCCTGTGCTGGGCTCTGAGCTACCCGATGGAGTTGAAGATGTCCCTGGTCATTGCAGGGAGGTTGGCCTAGATGGCCTTTAAAGGTCCCTTCCAACCCGATCCATTCTATGGTTGATGAGGACGCCAGTGCCACCTTCCAGTATAATCCAACATTCTGGAGCTGCCACAGTTTGGCTTATGTTGGGGTCAGGTCCGTCACCACAGCTCTACTTAGCTGGATGCCAATATTTAGCCTGGGAGGAACCATTTTGGCCATCGGTGTGGCTGTCGTTAACTTATTTGATGACTTTGGAACACGTGGGGAGCTCATCCTTAGAGCAATCAGGGAAGGAAGGAGGACAGGATTGTTTCCAGCGCTATTATCTCTGCTTATGGAAGCAAGGCAGCTAAAAGATAAGGCTGTTAAAGGCACTTCTGCACCTAACTCCTGTTAAGTTCAAAGCCCAGAACCTCAAAGGTACATCAGCAACTTTCATTTCCTGCATCAGACATGCAGCTTGTGGTAGAGAAGCTCTCCTGTAGCCCTTCTGTGCCCCTAAACCATTTTCTACTACCTCTCTACAACCTCTCGCCCCAAGTCTGTTTTGACCAGCCTGTTTAATCTTCCACATCATTTGGTTTCCTCAGCTGTCTGGCACCTATTCTCACCCCCATCTCTAATATCCTCTCTCCTAGTCTCCCATCCCCAACTCCCTTCGTGGTGTCTCTTTAGCATAGCTTTCTATTTTGTACTTGCCCAAGTTTTCTTTTTTCTCATCAGCCTTGTGAGATCCTCCTTTTCATTCACACCCTCTACCCCTTCCCATCTCGGCTCCAAGTCCTCAAGCCATGCCTGCCTTCCCCCTCTGCCACCCCATCCTTCCTCTCAGGACACCACGATTCCTCCAGCAGGTTAAGCCTCACTCCAATCAAGCCGTCATGTAGGCTTGATTATTATTTTTTTTTTTCTTTTAAAACTGATATTCTACCCTGCTTATCCTCAGCGTAATCTTCCCCACTTCCCTCCTAAACGCTTCCTGACTTGCGGTCGGTGTATACAGGAACACGTTCAGTTCAGCATTGCATCAGCAGAACGAATGGTTAAACCTCATGATCAAACCACTGCAACATTTCCTAGCAGAGAAAAGCCCTTACACAGCTGCCATTCTTCACCCCAAAGGTGGCCGCACGCCAGCACAGCAGGGAAAAAAAAGTGATTAAAGATGCTAATTTGAGTTGAATTAAACACAGATAACTTTTTTTCACCTTCAGGGTCACAGATTATAGCTATTGTTTTTGCAGACACCCTGGGAATCCAGAATGGTCCCACTAGACTGGGCCTATTTTGGACTCTCATGCAGCTTAATAAACATTTGAAGCTTTAAAAGAGTAGGTAAAATGGTATCAGAAATTCCAATAGCTACATCTGAGATGCTCAGCTCTTACTATCCCATCATCTCTCAGCTGGAAGGACAGCACAAAATAAATCAGAAAGTATTCATATTTTCAGGCAATAACAGTCATGCATTGATTTTATTATTAAAGCCTTTCTTCAGACTGATCAATGGGGCCATCTGTTGTGATCGTACCGTAGCAATTTAATAATCAATCTCAAATTAAAGTCTGTAACTCACTGCAGTCAGCCTGGACTCTCTCACACTCAACCTATGCCTTGAACAGTCCGCAGGTTTATCTTGGGAATGTAGACGAGGGTAATGAGATTTTTAAGGAGAGATATAATACACGTTGCCATCGCAGACACACAATTTCCAATGTATCTTTATAAAACGAGGGTAAGTAATGGCAGAAAGGAACAGCGGGCCCAGGATAGCTCCATGCATTACTAACGAGACACGGAGAATTTGACTTCCAGGTCAATAATTCAACCCCAACTTCTTTAGATGACTGCAACGATCCAAGGCTGTGTGGTGGCCATGCTTTCTCCTTCCTTAAAAATGAGAAATCCTAAAGGTCCAGCGTGGAGAAAACTTCTGCACCAGACTCTGTCTTGCAAGATTTACCACTGTTAAGATAAAAAGCCTACCCGTGCTGCTTCACTACTAGGGTATTCGCTGAAAACAAAATTTGTTAACGTTCAAAATCATCACATTTAAGTAACCTCAAAAAGTTTCTGCCTTATCAGGCTGACTTTCAAACCACTTATAACAGCAAGGGTTAAACACCACGCAAAAAGCTTGACCAATGCCATAGAGCTTTAAGATTTTTGACAGATGGTAATTCAAGGAATGTTTAAATTCAGCTCGGCAATTTATCTCCTGCATGCTCTACTTCCAAATGAGTGATCAGGAGCCGTCACCACATGCTACAGACATAGAGGAGATGACACCAAATGAATGTTTCAGGAGAGCTGTAGAACAACCAGGTCACAGGAGTCCCAGGGCACTCCCAAAAAACACCCCAGCCAGCACTGGGGAGGGTTTTATCACGGTTAACGGAATTCCCAAAGTGGCACGTCGAAGCAGCAATGTAGAAAACCACTTTCCTCTGCTTTGCGTCCAACATCACAGAATCACAGAACCATTTAGGTTGGGAAAGCCCTTTAAGCTCCCCCAGCCCAACCATTCCCCTACCCCTGCCATCCCACCCCCAAACCCTGGCCCTCAGCACCGCCTCTGCC